TTTCCAAGATTTAGTAGGAGAAAAAGAACGTAAATTATCCCATTCACATTTTTTTTTTTTTTTTGAGGTGGAGTCTTGCTCACTGCAACTTCTGCCTCCCGGGTTCAAGTGATTCTTATGCCTCCGCCTCCCAAGTAGCTGGGACCACAGGTGCATGCCACCATGCCCGGCTAACTTTTTTTGTGTATTTTCAGTAGAGACAGGGTTTCACAATGTTAATCAAGATGGTCTTGATCTCCTGACCTCATGATCTGCCTGCCTCAGCCTCTCAAAGTGCTGGGATTACAGGCACGAGCCACTGCACCCGGCCCCCATTCATAATTTTTATTGTGATTACATGTTGAAAGGGCTATATTTTGGATATACTGGGTTAAATAAAATATGCAATTATAGTTATTTCACCTGTTTCTGTTGACTTTTCTAGTAGTTACTACATAATCTAAAAGTACACACATGGCTTGCCTCTGGTTCCTACTGGGCAGCCTTGTTCTACTATGCGCCGGGGCTGAGAAGACCCAGATGTCAATAAATGTTAATGTTTACAGGATTTTGGTTTCATGGGGGATGCGGAGCATGTATCTTACCGACCTGGAAAACTGGATCTATGAACTGTTTCCACATATGGCTCCCCAGACAATCCCTGCCCCACGGGAACCCCTCATACTTGGGTAGCTTTATGTCTACAATTAATGCTCACCCGCCAGGCTTGGCTCACTGAGCAGTGGCCAAAGACCTTGCAATGTAGTAAAGAGTTTCTCTCATCTTAACCTGAGAGGAATCTTCTGGGCTTGATCTCCATCCTCTGGCCTGCAGGGGAAACTGAGGCCCAGTGAAGCAGAAGGGTTCATAGATCAGGAAAAGGCAGGACTCCCCGTGAGCATTTCAAGAACTCCTGCGTTCTTCTCCACAATAGCTTCAAAGATGCTTTCTTCTCTAGATTTTAAACTTTTCAGCAGGGGAGCGAAGGGAGAAAGATGGGTGGCCGAGTATCTGCTGAACCCCTGCTATGCCCTAGGTGCTGTTTCATGTTTACATACTGGATGTATCAGTTCCTTATGGCTGCCCTAACAAATCACCACAAACTCAGTGGCTTACAACAGCACAAATCTATCATCTCCCAGTTCTAGAGGTCAGAAGTCTAAAACAGGTCTCACAGGACTAAAAGCAAAGTGTCAGAAAGGCTGTGTTTCATCCTGGAGGCTCTAGGGAAGAATCAATTTCCTCGCCTTTTCGAAGTTATAGAGGACGCCCATACTCCTTGGCTAGTGGCTCCTTCCCAGCAGCAGGCAGTGGAGTCTTTCTCACGCTGCCTCACTCCAACCTCCTCTTCTGCCTCCCTCGTCCACATTTAAAGACCTTTGTGATTACACTGAGCCCACCTGGTAACCGAGGAGAATCGCCCCATCTCAAGGACCATCTCAGCTGATGAGAAACCCCAATTCCATCTGCAATGGCTTACTCAGTCATTAACATGTTCACAGCCACCAGTCTCTCTCTCATACCTTACACCAGCCCTATAAGATAGATGGAATGATCTGTATTTTTTTTCAGACAAGGACACAGATTTACGAGTTAATCTGCAACTTGCCCAGGGACACAGGCTAGAGCCTAGGTCTACCTGCCTACTAGTGCCTTTTTGATACCACACCCTCTTTTTAAATGATATAGGCAGTTTTCAGGTTCCAAATACTGTATTTTGTAGTATTCTGAGTTCAGAATACAGCAGCAACAAGACAATAAAGTTTGTCACCTCTGTTTTGAAAAGAGTTTTTTTTTACCAAAGGGTCTAAAGTCATGGGGAAGAAAAGCATACACTGGTTTTCTGGACACTCCCCTGGGATTATATACACATACCACGCAACAACCACAGGCACCAGCTCCCACCAGGCACATGACCGCCTCCCTTCAAACTCCTGAGTACTAACCTCAGAGACATTTGCAAACAGGGTGTGTCCTCCTCCTGACCCGGGAGCCCAGGGGAGGAAAGCAGGCTGGCAGGCTAGTGAAGATTTAAATTCTAAGCCAGCCTAGTGCTCCTGCACAGCACACAGTGCTGTGGTCAATGCAAGACAGGCAGTGTATTACAAAGGAAGCCAGGTCCCTGGACTGGATGTGCTATTTTCTGTCCCGAAGGAGACACAGAAGTAGCAACCTCAGCTCTCCAGGTCCTTTTCCACCACGGGGCCTGGCTGCTGGCTCACTCGATTATTTCTGGGAATGATCTAATTAAATATTAACTATGTACAAAACCTCATTCTTACATTCCTCAATAAGTCACTGTGAAGATGAGCAAACCCAGACAATGGACATAAACTCCATCTTTCCAGAAAAGGGACCCTGGAATGGGTGAGTCCTGTGAGATTCACCCATTACAAAGTTATTCATTGTATATGACCCTCTGAGATTCACCCATTACAAAGTTATTCATTGCACATGACCCTCTAAGCCTTTGAGAAAAACCCAGAGCAAAATAAAATAAAACAATCCACCTTTGGCCAGGCACCGTGGCTCATGCCTGTAATCCCAACACTTTGGCAGAGGTGAGGCAGGTGGATCGCCTGAAGTCAGGAGTTCAAGACCAGCCTGGCCAACATGGTGAAATAACGTCTCTACTAAAAATACAAAAATTAGCTGGCCGTGGTGGCGCGTGCCTGTAGTCCCAGCTACTTGGGAGGCTGAGGCAGGAGAATCGCTTGAACCCAGGAGGCAGAGGTTTCAGTGAGCCAAGATCATGCCACTGCCCTCCAGCCTGGCGACAGAGCGAGACTCCATCTCCAAAAATTAAAAAAAACACACACACACAAAAATTAGCCAGGTGTGGCAGCACACACTTTGTAGTTCCAGCCATTCGGGAGGCTGGGGCAGAAGAATTACTTGAACCCAGGAGGCAGAGGTTGCAGTAAGCCGAGATCATGTCACTGCACTCTAGCCTGGGCAACAGAGTAAGACTCTGCCTTAAAAAAAAAA